CAAGTGGGTACCCTCCAGAGTTTCATATGTTTTAGTACAAAATTGTCTTCTGAATGCATTTTTGCACAGAACAAAGAGAGTAGATTTTGTCATTACATTAGTTATAACTCTGGCCTCCTTCGAAAGGGAACTCTTTAAATTTTACAAAAAGTCAGAATGAGTAGAAGAGATACTGAAACAAAGTTACAGAGGCATGGACTTGGTAGGAATGTCACCTTACCTCATCTTTTTTGGCACAAAATAAGAAGTTTTAAGACATGTATTAGTGCCCTTTTATGTGGAAAAGGCTTTGGAGCCATAGTCACGAGTTAGAACCCATTCTTTGTCAGCAGCTCTTGCAGTCATATACAGATGCAAAAATGCTTTGCACAGATAGAATTGGGAGATTTGGACCTTTCAAACAATGTATAATTTGTCAAGGTTGTTTAAAGATTGAGTCCAGCACAGACCAAAACACACCTAAAGTAGCACTATATTTAAAGGGTTAAAGCTCCATGTGGGCTTTAGAGATCTGAAGCATATTTTACTTGGACTCCTCAGAGCCACAGAAGACATTAAATAACTGATTTCACAGGCTGAGCAGAATTCCTGGCTCTTTAAGTGACCAGGTAAACAAATATGTTCCTCCAGATAGAGCTTTTTGTTCCCTCTTTGTCATGCTGACATAGTGTGTGGCGCTACTGAAGCTGAGGCGTGTTTAACTTGGAGCGTCCCCAGAAACGCTCCAAACACAAACCATATCAAAAACTTGGGTCTGTTAGGGAGGAGATGTGCTCTGTCCACGATTGAACAAAAAACTGAACAGATGATGCAGTGTGTTAATAAGTGCATCCAATGTGATCACTGCCAAATGCAGCTTTATTGGAATATTGAAAGGAACTATTCTTCACTTTCGATGCTTTCTGTGGTTTCTTTTATGACAGCTTTTGTGATAGATAAAGAATGTTTTATAACTGAGCAGATGATGATGACAGTACCTTAAGTCACTAATGTCAGGAGCTCATCCCATGTTAAAGCTCCACAAATCAGGTGACGGGGAATTCTTTGACTGCTCTTTCCCCTTCACTATTTCTCTCAGATTTCTCCTCTGCTTTCTCTCTGGTTTGCCAGTGTCTTCAGGACCGGTCAGGAGTGGAGGATTGAGGGTCCATTTCTCTCTCCTACAAGCCTTTTGAAGACTTTTTAAGGAAGACAAAATACACATTGCTTTTGATTAAAAACATGCAGGCAAAACCCAAGTATGTGAAATGGACATGTATTAAACAGAACAGTTCCCTGTTCCTCTCTCTGTTTCAGCAGGGTTATGAGTGGCATTAAATGAATGTTCACATTGTTGGGAGTTTGTCATAATAACCAGGGAGGGAATGACACACACCAGGCCGCCCTGCCAGTGGTCTCACAAACGATTAGACTCTGCCAGGAGTCCAAACATACATCTTGACATTAATTGAAAACATGTTTGATCCCTTATCTTCATTTGGCTTTTAATGTTTTCTTTGAACTGTGTTTACCTTTGAGATAGACGCACATGCACACGCACACACACACAGATAGGACTGGGATTTAGGAGCTTCTTGTCCTGGGTCGGTCGGCCCTGGTCGTCTCCACACGGACCTTGACAATGTTCTGAGATTTCCCAGAGTCTGGCTGACTGTTAGCATTCTGTGCTAATGGACTGCTGGCTTTGGTTTGTGTGGACAGTCTCGTTCTCTGCCCCTGGCTTCAATACTGACAGATATTATTAGTTATCACTGTCTAAACCTACGCTGGCATATTTTGATATTTTGCTAAGATATTGAGTGAGGACTTAGAAAGAGCAGAGCTGTGACAGACTGTGATCTAATCTTAAATTAAACAGTGGGGCAGGTGGGGCAATAAATCATGAGGTGAGCTGTTTGAAAAGAAGCACAAGGCCGGGAGAAGATGTACATGTGCTATTCTTAGGTTTTACATTTAAGGCAGGTGTGCATGACAAATCTGACCAAACTTTGAGATGAACGACAGAAACTTAAAAAAAATCCACAGCAGCTATAAACACTCCTCTCAATGCGATTTGTAACTAGACTCACGTTCTGTTTGTGGTTCTGGAGACCCAGGGCCCCTTTTTAACAGCTCAAAAAACATACTTTGTGTTTTGCTTATTATTACCTCACTTTGATGTTTGACCTTCACTGTGCAGAATGATGTACTGTATGTGCAGTTTGTTTTCACATTGATCTGCTGAAGGAGGAATGATTGTCTAGTGAAGCAAAGCTGTCCATTACTTTATATTTACAAATGTCAATTAGTTAGTAAATTGCATGAGAAATACAGAAAAAGTAAAAACTTTGGTTATAAAGTTATAAGAATTATCAGCTTATAGTGATCAATTTGACCCAGACATGATCACTATAAGCAATCTCCAATGCCTTCGCATATTCACAGAAATTCTTATCCAACATGTCTTAAAACATGTCAGGGATCTTTAACATTGTTTTATCATCTCTATCACCTTTTTCTAATTGTATGAGAGTTTGTTCACAAGAGGTCTGACATGGAGTTAGACCACTCTGGGATCTAATTAACCTCAAACATAGGTAACATCATTATGTAGGATAGCATGCTGTTCATTTCTGTGTCTATGAATGACTTCTTGGCAAACAGAAGTAATATATATATGTATTGCCCATATAACAAATAAATACCTTATTTGGTTTAACAACGATGCTTAATGGTCATTTCTGTTTGTGTTTGTGTTAAAGGGAAGTGTCACCTCTTTTTACAGGAAACATGGGTATTAATAAAGGTCAGAGGTAAGGAAAAAATATAGTTGATTTTGGCATTACTTTTATTATATCAAAATATACAGCTGTGGACCAATGAGGAAACAAAGCTAATGTCAACAAAAGGTTAAAGGCTCACACTTACATTTTAGTGAGTTTTGTTCCTTACTGTATGCCAGTTAACAAAAAGGCCTGTTTGTGAACATGACAGTCTGTCACAGGCAGAGGAGCAGTTGATTTTTGTCCCACCCCTTTATCAGTGCCGACAAGCCGACGAGCCTCCAGAGATGAACATGACAGTGTGTGGATGAGGATGTAGTATCTACTAAAGAATTTATAGTGCTGAGAAAAAATAAAGCTCCTTTAGATTGTAATTACCCCCCTTTTGCCTCTTTTACAGTGAGCCTCCAGACTGACGTCAGTAGGAGATCACATGTTACAACTCCTATTCCTTGGTTTCACACTGGGAAAAACTGATCCTCAGCAATAATGATAGGACTGTTTTGGGCAACAGAAGTAGCATAGAAAAAGATAAACTGGCTGACATTTTGCTCTGAGGCTACAAGGCCAAAAAAGAATATTTCCAACACAGATGCATGAATTCTAAAATATAGATTTAAGCTACATAGCTTTCTAAATTCTGAACTTAAATTACTGTTTACCATAGTGTCAGGGTTGAGAGAATTTATATGGGCAGGAATGTTGGAGCAGGGGATTGATCCTCTCTTTTTAAAATCAGTGTGACAGTCTGCTACTACACTTGGTAACCTTTAATTAAGAAAGAAAAAAAAAAAACAACTTTGGAGAAAAGGCCCAAGAGCCTCACATGCAAACAGATTCTAAAATCCGAGCAGCCTACAAAGTGAAAATAAACACAATCGGTCTCTTTTCAAAAATACTTGTTACAACTTTCAGTAACCCCCCCCCCCCCCTGAAAGAAATTAATTTTGCATGTCTTACCTTCAGATTGGAGAAATGTTGCTATCCAAGTTCGCCTCATGCAGTATGTGCCATATGTCACCACTCAACACTCAGCGAGGAGCTCGGCATGTGTGTGTGTGTGTATATTGTGAAAGTGCATGTGTGTTTTCTCCTTGGAAGGTGTTTCCCTATTCTCGTGACCCTACATCACTCTGACAGAAGAGAGCAGATCGGAGGAGGAGGAAGAGGACGAGGACGAGGAGGAGGAGGAGAAGGAGGAGGAAGGGACCGAGGCGTCAGTGACTGTGAAGTCCATTACAGTGCAGTGAGTGTGATTAACTACCGTCACTGCGGAGGAAGAGCAGAGGGCCTGGAGTTTCCTGAGCTGGACGTGGGGGGGCTTAGTTCTGTAAATCCTTCGCCTTTCCAACTTCTGTCTTTTTGGGAAGTAAAAAGAGACACTTGTTTCTTCAAAGTCAGAGTTATGATCTACACAATTTTTCTTGTGCTTGAGGAGGAATTGCATCATGAAATAAAACAGACTCTAAAGTTGGAAAGCCTAACTCCTCAATACACCCTTTGATTCTTTGATCTAAGTCTGCTCCTTAAAAGCTTTCAGTACCTTCTCAACAATGTGTTCATGACCAAGAGGCAAAGGAAGAGGACTTTGGTAATTGCGGAAATGCTGATGTGATTTAACCAAGATATTCCAGTTAGACACTTTGAGGCTCTCGTCATTGGACCATGGCACTCATTAGTAACTGACAGCGGGTCAAACAGACATACCATGACAACATGAAGTATGAAGTACAAAGAACACAGCTTGACTTATTGACTCAAAGGTGCGCAAAGATAAATTAATCCAAAGAGAGACAACAGTTAAATTAAAAGCAAGCCTTTTATTCTAGCCGCAAAAATAACTCAGATACATTCACATCAAAGTGTCCAAAACAAGGCAACAAGATATACAGTGAGCTTCCCTGCCCAAAGTCCGACCTTCCCACCTCACTGCCAAAAAACTACAGATCCCAGAGATATGAAGGCAGCTGAAAGGGAGGGTGTGTGGGTGTGTGTGTGTGTGTGTGTGTGTGTGTGTGTGTGTGTGTGTGTGTGTGTGTGTGTGTGTGTGTGTGTGTGTGTGTGTGTGTGTGTGTGTGTGTGTGTGTGTGTGTGTGTGTGTGTGTTCGTGTATGTGTCAACATGGCAATGGCATCGAGTCATGGTAGTAACAGTCCACTCTGTTCTGAACCGAGATAACAAGCCAAGAACAGAAAGGAACAACTCTTTTTAAAAAAAAAAAAAAGAAAAACACTCCACACTTTTAACACATACGTGTCTACAAACCTTCATATTAAATAATCTCAAATATCACTTAAAGACAGCACAACAAGGTTTTAATGGATAGGTTTACATTTTTGTAAGTAATCCTTAAAACAATGCACACGTGCTATTACGTATATTAAAAGAAAAAATGGTTGTTTTAATTGTTCCTCCTGTCCATACGGGCTGCAAGACAACATTTCCTGAAGCAATTTCAACATCATTAAAAAGGGGGAGCAAGCCACTGAATGGTACAAATATGTCTTATGAATAAACTGAAAATTTACTGTCCCATCACCAACCGAGCTAAGCTCATAGAGCTTCATTTTCCCTCTTCAGTAACTATTTTATTGGACAAAATGGTGTACAAGGGTGAAGAAAATGTCAAATAAACAGAACAGTAGGGAAAATAGAGAAAATCCAGGAGCTGTTGTGACTAATATACTGGCCAGTATAGTCATTACGTCACCAAACTTCCAGACCAAATATCTTGCAGACATGCAGATCAGTCACTGTACCACTTTCTGATGTGACCAGGACTGAAGTCAGACTGTTGAAGTTTCAAATGAGCGACTAAAGTTTAGAGTGTGTTTTCTATACAGAACGAAGACTGGATTTTGTCCCCTCTCTCTTACACCAAAACAACTTTAGAAAGTGATCTCTTTGCAGCCAGGAGACTGGAGAGGCAATTTCAACAACCAGTAGCCCTTTCAACATACCTATGGGCATGTGAGTATGGTAGAACTAGAACTATTGACTAGAACTTGGAACAATGTGGACCTATCCTTTCACTAACCCACTATCCAGTCAAACGTTAAAGGCAAGCAGAGTGGTCATTATCCTCTGATATAGGGCATAATACAAACTGTACATGAACTCCAAACTCATCTACAAAATCTACAGTGTACATACATGTGGCCTACTGTTGTCTATGGCACAGTAACAAATGTGCAAGAAACAAAATCTACCAAAAATGGTCAATCAATCAAATAAATTATATCTGATTAAATATAAGAAACCAACAGAATTCATCTCATGCTCTGCTAATAAAAATAAAGTAAATGCATGTTTAGTTCGTGGTAAGTTCATCACAGAGCTAATGACTAATGAGCACTCGTTAGTGTAAGACAGAGAAGCAAAGCAGCAAAAGGATGAGAGAGGGAGCGCAGTGTGTATCACCATACATGGAGCGGAAACCAATGGAAGTTGGACTGAGTCATAGACGTGCTCGGCCCTCTCTCTCTCTCTCTCTCCCCCACACACACACACACACACACACACGCACACACGGGTATACAAACAGTAACATCAAGATGAGAACACACATGTTCATATTCACAGCTAAAGTCTCACACGCTCGTCCACTATGGTTTCACACATTTTTTGTAAACAGTTGTCCTCTAATAACACACATTCAAGTGTCCATAAATAAGCCACCTCAAGAATTAAAATGAAAAAATTATACATCACATTTTCACAACAGGCCTGTCTTGGCGTCACCCCTTTTGACAACAAGTCAAACTTATCTAGACAAGTGCTTATTTAGAAAAAGGTCAAGTAGGCACTGTTTCATTCAAAGAAGGCTGAGGCTAGACCCATAAGTTACTAAAAACTAAACAGTCCCTTTGGAAAAGTGGTCGTTAACTTCAAGAAACATCAAGAAACATCACTAAATCACCACCTCTGCACCTAAATATTCAGGTGGGTGTAAAGTCACTGAATCATGATGGATAGCAAAGTCTCCACACAGCAATTAGAGAATAAACTAGTGACCATTAAGACATTTTAGATCCACAGTGGAGGTGTTTATTCTGCCAGCGCAGGACCCTTTACCTGAACACATGTGTATAGAGGTCCGTGGGTGACTACAGCACTTTTTTAACTGATCCTGTGTTGGTTTGAAGGTCTGAACTGCTTCAGGTTGCTGGTGACTGGAGTGTCCCTGTGGAGCTGCCGCAGTGATCAGTTCTGTTCAGTTCAGTCCCACCAGACCTGTAGACACCCAGCATGAAAATTAGTAAGATTATCTTTGTCTTTAATAGAGCCAAAATCTTAACCAAATAAAAAAAAGGCAACAATCTTCCAATAACAATTCAGCACAGTAACACAGTAATTTTGAGACTATATTTTTTAAAAGTGTGGTGATATTCTTAATTTTCTTTATTGTCAATAAATCCACACTGTTGGTTTTGGTGTTTTAACGTGATTTGTTGACAACAACAAAAATACAGAATAACAACAACAGGTTTGTCCATAAAGTCAGATCACTCCACTGGAGGCAAGAAACCATCACTTTTATTTAACAGCTGAACCAGATGATTTGCTTCAGAAGCCAAATGAATTACATAACAAAGTTTGTAAAATTAATGATTTATAAAGTTCTGAGACTGTTTTGAAGTCTCCTAAGGAGACACATTTAAACATGTCATCTATATCCGTATTACCTTATATAACTCTAATATTATCAATGATAAAGAGGATAAAACAGTAAACTGAACACGACAACACATAAAACAATCTGTGGACAGAGGTTATTTATCTCCAGTGCACTCTCTGTTTAGCTTCAAATATGGTGAAGTTCAAAGCTAAACACTTACTTTCATTTATTTGTATGCGTCAACACTTTTAGTCTAAATAATATAATTTGTAAAATGTGTCCTGTCAGGACCTTTAACACCATGATACTGTCGTCTTAAAATATAAAAACCTATTCAGAAAATAAATGTACAGTTAAGCTACTTATTATAACTTAATGTGCTTTTTGAATTTCTCAGTTCTTGGGACATGTAATTTACTTAAAGTCTACATCAATTTTCTCGGTGGGCTCTGGAGGTTACCTGTAGCTGCGTTTTAATCCGTCTCCTCCTCCTGTCTCAGGTCTTTCTGAGGAGCAGGTACGACAGTTGTCCCTAACAAACCTCTTCTCACAATGTAAGGACATGAGGCACCACTTGGGATGTCGGCAAAACCTGCAGGACGGAAAGAGGGGGAGAAGGAATGAATAAGAGGATTAAGGGACAGTAGATGAAGGACTAAGTGTCAAAGCACAAAAATAAATAAAGAGAGGAGACAGAAGGAAAAGATCACAGGCAGAAGGAACTTCTGTTTTCTGTACATTACAGGGTCAGAAAGTCAGTTTTTTGTCATTTGTTTTGTCAGGTAAGAACTTGAACTTTGAAGTTTGTCATAGTATCATGCAGTGCCTGGGAATATAAATGGAAATATGTCATATTGCTTATTTTTGTTTTCCCAACTGACTGTTTCAGTTTTTCAGCTAATAGTTACCTTTCATGACAACTTCCGGCAGTCCATAAGGTTCATACTCTGTGTCGTCAAAGGCGGCTGACAGCTGCGTCCTGTTACGGCGGATTCTTTCAGCCAGACGGGCTGGGTCAGCAGGGATAGGGAAGGAACCTGAAAACAAGATTTTGTCTGCTGACTCTGCTCCTTCCAATAGTGGGACAGGGGAGACAGGAGGGGAGTCCACTATATCTTCTTCATCCACTTCTTCCTCCGTCTGTGTGTAAGCGCAGTGGAGTTCGGATGCCGTTGGAGCACTGCGAGAATAAAATATCTCCTCTGTTTGACTGCAGACACTTTTCATTTCTGTCCTAACAGCGCTGTCTGAAGAATCATTGGTGTTTATTTCATTAGTTGCTCTGGAAGCGTTGGGTTTGGCTTCAGGATTCCCTGGGTGACACTCTGTTGTTTTGGTCTTATTTAGCCCTGAGACTTTATGGAGATCTTTGGTAACGTGTTGTTGACCCGTTTTCTCTGATGACATTTGGATGAGTTCATTGTCTCTCTTGTCTTTGTGATGTGTTGGACAGGTGTCTGACCATTGTAATACGATGATCTCCTGGTTTTCTTTTTCAGATTCCTGCATCAAGACACAAAACACAGCAGGCCTGTTAATCCAACACGTGGACAAAAAATTATGCACATAACTGTAAGTCTAAACTGAAAACTGTAGCATTTTTCCCACCTAAAGACAAGCACTGAGGACAAACAGGTGCTTTGAATTCTGAAAACATATGACACTTTATTTTACTGGAGCTTAATTCCCTAATCATTGGGAAAGATTTTTACTTTCTAATTTGGAATTCCCTGTAGGAAAGTAGCAAAAGCTCTATATAAATACATATTCAGTCATTATTCATTTATTATTGGAAACTCTCCACATGCTGAACTGCATGCTTCCCTGTAGACAGATTCAGCTGGCTTGCTGTGCACTGATTAAATTAAACAGTAAATCATGTCACTGGAAAAACAAATTCAGTCCTCACACCTTTTAAATGGACTGCATTTATTTGATATAAAGAGCCACAGATGCATAGTGGTCTGGTATGTAAGTGAGAGATAGTTTTAAAAAAGAAAATCACCTTGTCGATCTTGGCAGTGTCCTGATTGTATTCCTGAAGTGCTGCAGTCTTTTTAGAGGAGTGGAAACTCTTTGGTTCAGGAAGGTTGCTGTGCTGCAGTCTTGTGGTAAAACAAGAAAAAATGTTTATTCCAAGCATACACACAGGAAGACCACAGAAGCCTTCATATAGACATACATTAAACAGTACAAATATACATAATCACCTTAAATACATGCATTTAACACTCAAATGTATGTTACTGCCACATTTTCCATTGCTTCTGTAAGAGTGTGTTACCTGGAGAATAACATGCGGCCCTGCAGCTTGTTGGAAGAGGAGGAGAGGAGTACCTCATCTTCTCTGATGACTGTTACATTACCAGTGCTCTCCTGAATACCCTGTGTGGGCGACTGAGCCTGGCCAGTCAGAGTCAGACCCTGGCTGTGGGTCATCTCATCAGTCTGCTCCTGGTTTGAGTGGGATTGTCTGACAGCAGAGCTCCTGTCCTGGTTATCTTTGTTGGGAAGCAACGGGTCAAATGTTGGAGTTGTTTGGGAGGCCAGTCTCCACAGTACAAGCTCCTCAGCTTGCTGCTGGGTCTTCTCAGAGAGAGCCCGAACCTTCTTCTGCAGTGCCACCACCTGGACAGGACAGAAAAGACAGGGTGGACTGAATAAAAATTAAACTGACATTTCTAATAAAAAATATAACAATATTCAAGTCAATCTTTACACAGTAATTCAGATAACTTGGAATGTCTCAAGTTTTTTAAAACATTTAGTTGAAAAGAAAATGGATTCATGTTTTTCATTAATGATTTAATATACTGTAGATCGATTACATTTAAATTTCCTAGCAAAGATTACAAACACCTACAATGTAAACTCAATTATAAATTTAATTTTCCTGCCTATCTGACTAACTTAGCAACATATTTTTGGCTCTCTTCTTCAATAAGACATATCACATCACTGCTGTGATAGTAAGATGTAGCACATGGTCACTACCTGTTCCTCTAGGTGGTTGACATGAAGCTGAGATACTTCATCCAGCTCTTCTTCACCCCTTGTTGTCTTTTTAGCTTCCCTTTTTAAATCTCCTCCTTCATCTTCCCTCCTCCTCCTCTCATTCTGCAGTAGCGACTCCTGGCCCTCAGCGGTGATGTCATTCTGCTCACTAGGTGGCCTCTGCTCCGTCAAGCAGAACACAACAGCATTTCCTGCGTTTTGGCTTTGCTTGAATGGATCTTCTTGGTTTTCACTTACAGTCTGTAATGCCAGGCTGCTGGTGTCTGAGACGGTGAAGCCTACTATTTTTTGTTTCAGCAGCCGATTCTCCTGTTGCAGAGCGAGCAGTTCTGCAACCACGTCTTCTGTTGCTCCATCTTGAACGCACTCAGTGTCTTCCAATACACAAGCGGAGTCATGGTTACTGTCAGTCTTGTTTGAGTCTACAGAGCCTGGACGCTGTTCCCCTAACAATAGTGCTTCACTGTCTTCTTCACTGCCAACAGGTGTTGGTGTTTCAGCATCAAATGTCACAGTCTTTGGTTGATCTGCATCTCTCTGTGCAGTAGAGTCACCGACCGCCAGTGAGGTTGTAGTGTGAAAGGTGACATCGCAGTCCTTTTCCGCCTTCGGTTGGAGCTCTATGGTGTCCGCCAACTTCTCATCTCTCTCTTTGACCTCTTTGACCTCTTTTTCAGCCTTGAATGCATCCAGCTCTTGTTTGCATCGCTGCAGTTCCTCTCCCTGGCTGAGGAGGGCACTCTCCTTCTCCTGTAGCTCAGCTAGAAGGCCTGAGATGTGCTGACTCTGCTTCTCAAAGGCCATGGTTAGCTGCTGGGTCTGACGTGTCACCTGAGGAGACAAAAAAAGATTTAAAAAAAAGCTGAAGAGAGAAAAAACATGCAATAAACCACTACACCCTGTACTTCACTGTGTTTTAAGAAAAGCTACACACCACAGAGCAAAGATGGCAGTTCCTATGGAAACTTTCAGTGTTCAGTGAGTTGCATACTTGATTTATTTAGTCAATTCTCACGTCTGCCATTATCTGTCGATATGGTAATCTCAGTCTAAAAACCAAAAGCGTACTAGGAGAAATTGTGAACATCATTGGTGTAAATTTAAATGATCTTTGCTACTTATATCAACTCAGAGCCCCGCAGAAAGCTCAGGTCTACTTACTGGACTCCTAGTGCTGTTTACACAAAGAGTTGAAAGTGCTTTCATCAGAACAGTGGGTTTACCTCATTAGAATAGGCACAAATTTCCATTCCATCAGCTATCGGCTTTTTGAACAATATGTAAATGTGGCCTTTTTCATTGCTGTAATAAATCCCTTTTAATCAGTGATATCTATTTAATAATGCCTAAATATATAATGTTTTCCTGCATCCCAATACCACTCTTCTATCAGAACCAAAGTATCATGGTCAATAAGTGACATACAGAATAAGCAGTGACATAAATACAGTGACCAACATGCAGTTACACGTGTGCAGTTTCTGAAGTGTTATAGAACCGAGGATCAAATCTAGACATTTTATATTTGGCTATAATTACTTCTTTGTGAACCAATTACTTATTATTCAATATGTAAAATTGTTTTCTTTGCATCTTGTAAATATAAATTGTTTTACCAGGGCTGGACAAACTTCATATATCAATGTATATCCACTATTATTTACCTGGCTCTGCAGGGCCTCTAGTTTAACCTGGTACTGCTTAGCACGTTCTGTCTCCTTTTCTTTCTCCTTCTGCAGACGCTCCACCTCTTTTGCCCAACCTGAGGGGGCAGACTCACATTTCTGGAGGTCAGAAAGAGCTTCTTGCTGGTCTGACAGAGAAGACCCTCCCATATAGTTTTGTCTGGTGTCTTCCAGGTCAGAGGCCACTTGACCTGTTCGCCCCTCATCTAGCAGAGGTGAACGTTCAGGATCTATCACTGTTTGACCTTCTTGAATGAGATTTTCTGTCGCCTGAGAAACAAGCATGTTGAGTTGGTTGGTGGACTGGCAGAAGAGGAGGTGCTGCTCTGGAGAATGGAGGAGTTTGTTGCCACAGTGAACAATGTTGGAGTTGAGCTCATCATCATGGAGAGTCAGGTATGTCAGTGGACTGTTGGCAACTGACAGTTTCTCCTCTTCCAGTGAGTCTTCTTTTCTGTTGCGCTTTAATTCTTCCAATTCAGCTTCAAGTTCTGCCAGTTTTGTGCTCAGCTCCTTCTTTACATCTATGTCTGTGTTCATTATTTGGTTCCTCTCCTCTTCCTCTCTCTTTCTCTCTTCTCGTTCTAAAGCCAACTGGGCTTTCACCTCTGATAGCTGTTTCTTCAGCTGGATATTGAGCTCTATCATTTCACTCTCTCTGTCTTGCAGCACTTTGTTTTTCTCCTCCTCCTGCTCCAGTCTCTCCTTCTTTTCTCCTAACTCCCTTCTGCTCTTCATCTCTGTCTCCAAAGCAGCCATGGCCTTCCTCAACCTTTCTGTCTCAGCCCTCTCACTCTCCAGCTCTGCTCTCCATTCCTTGTCTTGTTCCTCCTTCTCCACAGCCTGACTGGCATGTTTGCGGCTGAGCTGTTTGAGCCGGGTCCTGGCTTCTGCCTCAGCCCGTCGTTGGGCTTCAAGGTCCTCCAGTCGTTTCTGGAGTTCTTCGCGCACATCTTTTATCTCTGAACGCAGCATGGCATTCTCCCTCTGGAGGTCTTCAGAGGCTTTGCCCTGCTTGGGCTTGAGCGAAGGTGTTGTTTCGTCCATAGAGGTGTTGCTGGGAACATCAGTAGTAGAATGAGAGGAACTTGAGGGTACATGATCAAATGTGGAGTGCTTCTTCATCCCAGAGCTGTCACACTCTATCTCCTCATTTCTGCTCTTGTTCTCTTCCTCGTTTCTTTTTCTTCTGTTTCCTCCCCTTTGTAAACTCTCAGACTCTGTGGAGATAAGGACAGTGATGTGTTCAGAGTCAATGCCTTCTCCTGGCTCTCTGTCAGAAGGGTAAGATGCTGTAATCTCTGCCCTCCTTTCATCCACGCCCTCTTCCTCTTCCTTCTTCTGCTCTGCTCGGGTGGTAGCGGTGGGCCTCTTGGTGTGAGCTGACGGTCGAGGATGAAGAGCGTAAGAAGGCTGAGGGGAGAAACTCTGGCCAACAGGGCAAAACTGCACAGGTTGTAGAGGGGGTGCTTGTGCAGCTTTTTGCTCTGGAGTTAAAAGGAAAGAGATACAAATAGTGAGTTTTAAGAGACCACACAAGAACTGAGAAATAATAACCTGGTTGAAAAGCAGTAAATAAAGAGTTTATCTGTCTTTTTTTTTTTTTTAAATGAACACATTACTGGAATTGATTATAGAAAATGATATATCATTGACCAGCAGGTGGCAGCACGGGGCTTCTACATTAAAGGGGAATTAACACAGCACCTACTGTAGAGCATACATGAATGTCAAGCACTTGGACATTGATTATGTAAGTGGATGAGTCTTAATGACTTATTTTTTCTGTACTAAACTCCCTTGTGGAGGGAGAAGAGAGAAAAAAGAAAATCTCTCTACCTGATGTCTAGTTCGATAACATCAAACTAACATAATTATTATCAGTATAGATTCCATGACTGATGGATTTGTCCTCTCTCCCAACCACATCTCGCTCCTCACCCTGTAGTTCTTTGAGGAGACGCAGGGCGTCGGCTTTCTCCTCTGCCAGTCTCCTCCCCTCTTCTTCTAGACCTTGCTCCCTCTTCCTGCTCTGCTCCAGACTCAGTGCCACACCCTCCGCCTCGCGCACTGCCTCCTAATACGAGGGTAAAAAATACAAATGAGGTGATTTAAGCACATTCAAATTCTCCACTGTAAGGATTGAATTCATTTAAGGTTGTACAAAGGGTTCAGATACGTTGGACAGATCGCCTCTCAGCTGAAACTTATCAATATACATTGGCCTCTTAAATGTTGTGCAAATTGTAAATGTTATACAGGAATGTTGACTTTAAAGCATCTACATCTGCTTGTGAGTGTTTCTTCCAGATAAGACATCTTTAATTTCTCACATTTTAAAACTTGGCCATTAATAACTAGATAAGGAAAGTATACCACCTCTGCCAGCAGTGCCTTTTTATTAGTTGCACCTGCAATATTTGTATTTGCGCAGCAGGACTTCCAGATAAGGAATGACTGATAAGGAATGTATGCATGTAGAGCTACATAGAGAATAGCGTCACAATAGCAATAAACCATATACAAATAAGCCACAGACAAAGGCAGCATTAGTATCGATGTTGAAAGCTGGTATACATGTAATTAGCTGCCACAAACAAACAACTCTGGAGTGTTAAACTTCCTCTGCAGTGTGGCTGTATTAAACTTTGGTCTGGTATTTTAATGCAAAGCTTTAGCAAAAGCTTTCTAATGCATAAGGACACCAGTTTTCCTTATGTGCAATTTCAGCAGTTTACCATCAAGATTCAATATTTCATCAGGCAATATCAGGCACCGCATCTTTTTTGGCTCTGTGAAATTTCCCCCAATGCTACACCTTTATTAAATGCATGATTCATAATTAATTAGACTGACATATGGCACATTGAGATGTTTTTTAAAAATTTACAGAGTTCCTTACATACCCACTGCTCAGCTAATGAATAATTGACGCACAAGACTCAGGACCACCACTAGCATGTATGTGTATTACCGTCAGTTTGACTTGTGTCTGTGCTTCTTTCTTCTGGCTATCCAGCAGCTGTTTCTCCGTCCACTTCAGTTTCTCTTTCAGCGTGTCCAACTCTTTGTCCAATGCTTGTTTCTGTAGAGACAACTGATAGAGGATATTATGACTCAGCAGCTGCTAGAAAATAGGGAAAATGAAATCAAAGACAATGACGAAGACAAGGGATACGAGAAAAAAGATCAAGTTAGGGGGTAAAAACAACAAAGAAGAAATAAAGACTGGATGGCTGTTGTTGTAGGCGTAGGAATCAGGACCAGCGAAGGGAACAGGAAGCAGGAGAGCAATCAGTGATCAATACCGAGCATAAGCTGTGTCTGATGTATTTTTCTACCTCTCCAGGGAAACTAAATGAAGACTAAACAAGCTGATCGGCTTCCCATCAGTGCTCATATAAAATTCTGCACGTTATTTCATGTCATTGTACACACGAGCAGTATGCTGATAGCGTTACTGTGAGCAGCAGTGTTGTACACTAAGTACAACGCTGCTGTTCCAATTTTAGTGCTCACATTACATTTACTAATCCAACAAATTAGTTGTTACTGTCATGCTACCTCCACATCATTGTTGGAAATAGCAACATAAACAGTACAGTGTATGAAATAGTGAACAAGCTGATAAAAAAAAACCTCATGGTGGAAATTCCTTACTATAAACATTAAGAGAACGTGTTTGTGATGGTCATAAGTGAAACAACCTCCGCCACTAGTTTGGAGTTTGTTCTATAATATTTATTGACCCAATCATTCTAAGTAAGCCCAGAACAATTAATTTATAAATCTAAGAAATTAAATGTTAATGTCATAAATAGTGTAACTTACAACTTTTTTCCAGAAGTAGTTCATTATTATTGAGAGAAGAAGCAGGGACTGTGTAAATGCAACACTGCAACAATCCTCATAAATTATATCTACATGCCAATCAAATCAGCAGATCATTTTTGAAATACCAGTTTTTTGGAAGATTTTATTCAAATGTCTCCTCATGGCTGTAATGATCTCCTGTTCACAATGCTAGTCCATCTACTGCATTGAAAAACTTAAAAGAGAGTCTATAAAGTTATTGAGATTCTATGGGTTACCCATGAGTGAAAAGGCAGTGTAAATTGGTCATTTGAGTCACATGAAATGTGCACTATCAGCAGCTGTGTGTGATTTGACTCAACACACACTGTATCTCTGTTGTGTTTACTCCCTGTCACCTTATCAGATATAACGAGATAGCATCTGTGTGGTTTACAAAGGGCTTACAGTAAGGTTTTAAGAGGCATTGTGGGTAGAATAAAAGGTCATTGAATTTTTACACCATCCCTAAAAGTGCAGGCATTTTTTTTGTACTTGTTAAGAGGCTCTCCCCTGTGCTAAGACTAAAATCTGTATCACTGTTCTGTTGATAAAAATAAACACCACAGCATTCCTTCATGTAAAATAAATCCAAATAAAAAGGGGGAAAAAATGACAACACTATGTCTTAAACCACAAACACACTTTCTTCTCTGCATTCATGCATCTTGCCTCAAATACAGACCTTCACACAAATATTCCCTCCCTCTTCACCCTCATCCCGCAGCCATGCCTTCACGCCTCTCTCCATGAGAACTTGGACTGTTTCTCACACACAAGTTATAAGTTATGAGATTATTTCATGCTTCCATAACCAAAGCATTCTGCACCGTCAAACGCAGTCACACTGTCATTACCTTCGCTGCTCAACCTGTCCACTGGAGAGAAACCGAGGGGAGGGGAGGACGAAGCGGAGAGGACACGGGTGGGGAGGAAAAAAAAGAAAAAAGAAACAAGAGAGCAAGAGAGTGAAACAGAGAATGGGAGAAAACAACAAGGACAAGAAGCAAGCGTGGGAGAAGTAGTGAGATAAGTTTATTGACCTTTGGTACAAATAGTACAAGTCCCAGGAGAAAGAGAGAAGGAGAGGAGAGGGGATAGCAACAGAGAAAGCAGGAAAGAGAAACAGGAAATAGCTGAAGAAACAGTATATGTACAGACTATAACTTTGGTCCTCAGTTTCCACTGTTGATAAAATCTTATTTAAAGGCTTCATCTTGGCAAATGTATTTGTATGAAAATGCATATCAGAGGGATTATTTGCCTTGTTCATGAATACGATTATGTGCAAAACTGTGTACCTTGTCAGCCTGGGCCTGCAGGGCATTGTGGAGCGCCCTGGCCTGCTGGAGCTCCTGGTTGAGCTTATTCACCTCCTGCTGATGCTGCTTCTCCAGACAGTGCCTCTCCTTCTGAAGCTCTGTCAAGTCCTAGAGGCAAGCACACACACACACACACACACACACACACACACACACACACACACACAGAACTAAATGTGAGTCACTGTAATTCAACTGTAATGTGGAAATTTTACTTTCTCTCTCTTCCTTTAGTTGCTTCTCCATCCATCTGTCTCTGTCTTACCCTCTGATGTTGTTTCTCCAGCTCCTTAGCGCGCTGTTGGTGTTGCAGTCGGCTGCTCTCTGCATTTTGCCTCTGACACTTTAGCTCCTCTTGTAACTGCTTCAGCCTTTGCTCAGCTCCTGATGCCTGCCACACAAACACACACAACACACTCCCTTTAATACTGACAATAAGACTTCAGGTGTCAGTATTATGTTTATATATTTGGATTATTGTTTCTTGTATTGTATATTTTGTTTCAGGGCATCCTTGAAAAAGAGAGCTTGCTCTCAATGGCCTTCCCTGTATAAATAAAGGTTTGAATGAATGATCTTCGTTACCATCATTGTCTTAGCAAGTGTACCCTGCTAAAGATATTGCAATTACTGTGCAGCAATTAGTCACATATTCAATTATTCTAAAGTGTGCATGTAAATGGTCAAATTTGTGGGGATGTTTGTTTCTTTGTATATATAAGTCACTTAAACCTGTTTTATTGACTTTTTTTTTGTTTTAACACATTTGTTTTATTGTTTTCACTTTGTTTTGTAATGTGTCTTGATTGAGGTTCTGCATTTGATATTCCAACATTAGAAAAAGCATTAACATTTTGAGAGCTGTGTAGCTACTAACAAACGAGACAATGGGAGAAATGGCAGCCTCTCCCAGTCTATCCTCAGCATTGTACATTGTTTGCCAAATGGTTGGATTTCACAAAACATCAGCTGGATGGTTTTACAGCACAGAACAGAATAAGTGCTCAACATTTTCAAAGTTCCTGATAATAACAGATTGTGTAACAAGCAAAATATTCCCAACGTGTTTGTCAAAGAGAAATGTTTTGACAAATGAGGCCAACACCCATATTTTGACAAAACAGCAGAGCTTCAGGGAAATTTAGAACATTCGCACTGGTATGCAACACATTTGTTTTCAGTAGTAGTAGTAGTACCACCAGCAGTGTCAGTAGCAGGTGAAGTGTATGTTTTTACCCGTTCACTCTCCTGGGTCATGCGTGTGTGTGCCAGGCTAAGCTCGTCGCGAGCTCTCTGCAGGCTGAGATCCCTGGCAGTGAGCTCCTTCTTGCTTTGCACCATTTCATTCTGAATCGACTTCAATGTCCCAGTCTTCACAGACAGCTCCTCCTCCAGACAAGACACACGACTCTGCATTTCTGATAAAGATTCTGGTGTATGGAGAAGAGACAGAGTGACTGGTTAATAAGGTCTCAGGAAAAAAATCTCTCCCAAACATCTTTTAATTTTGAAAAAACTAAATGAAACATAAAATATAAAAAACGCAGCTTGAAACAATCAAGCTGCGAATGAGTGTTGATTTTAATCAGCAAATTCTTGATTTCTTACAAATGAACACCAATGGTCAGGGACACAACAGCAACACACAGTTGGGGTCTTCAAAAATGAGGTCAATCCATACAGACTGGCTCACTGACAACCACAGCTGCTCTCACACTCTGTATGACTCACTTCCACCAGTCCTGTGGATGTCAGGCTGCTGATTTCCAAAGTCAGGGATGAAATCAATTTTCTGTCTGTCCAATATGTATAATTTTCCCATATTTTTTACTTTTGCACTGTTCAACTTTCTAACTGAAGATCTGCACCACAATGAAAGCATCTGCTACTAACGCATATACTAAAATATTTTTACCATCAATTATAAAACTTTATATATATATATATATATATACATACACACACACACACACATACAGTTATATCTATCATAATCAGATATAACTGTAACCATAATTTGTCGTATTAACAATCTAAAAAGAACATACTGTTGTTTTCTACTATTTCTACCTTTACCATACAACCCCACTAATAAGCAAATCTGAATAAAATCCTGGAACATTAAATGATTATAGTAGAGAGCAGCATAAAAAAAAAAGAAAGAAAGAAAACCACACCTAAAATAAACAATACACTGACCCCCCCCCCCTCTGTGTCCCAGCAGCTAAAAAAAGCATTTATTATTTCACAATGAACTGTCCCCTTCCTCCTCTGAGCAAACACACATGCACAGAGTGGAGCTGAGAGAAAGAGGAGTGTTATATCACAACCATAAAGTGTACTAAGAGCCACTCTACATCATGAAGCTGGCCCAGGAGCAGGCAGAGGAGTCTCCGGCTGAGCCAGCCTCTTATGTAACAAGTGTTGTTGAGGTTACACAAAGTACATGAGATTCAGGATGATCACATTGCTTTACTTTGCTGAGGTAGTCTCACTAGAGCTGAAAACCAAACCAAAATGGATAACATTTCATCAATATTTTTGGCCAAAGATCACAATAACAACTACACACCAGCCAATCTAAAACTGCTGAATAATGTAAATATGAAAATCTGAGCCATTTTCAAAAGGTTCAAGAATAATAATATTATATCTTTATTCAGCAAATACCAATAACAAGCCCAAAACAAACAATGAATTGATCCTACTAAAAAGTGCTGAACATTAACATGGGAACTGTAGTTTATTTAGCACTTCACATCCAACAAATGCAGTTGAGTTACCAATTAGCTATTTTTGGAAATTACTGAGCATTACTTAAAAAGGAAACTATAGATTTGTAACTAATTTTTTAAGATTCTTGTCTTCAGCAGCGAAAAAATAGCCTCGGGACTGAGAAACACAGACAGGTAGTGAGGTGTAAGTACTGAGAGACCAACCCATTATTGGTTTTCCTCTTTTCATGGGATTTGTTGACAGTAGTCAAAAAATAAAATAACACCAGCCTTATCATTTCAGGACTACCAAAATCAGACCCTGGCTAATAAGCAATAATCAGCATTAATTCATTCTGACCAGAGCTTGCTGGTCATCTCTCAGTCAAAATTCAAAACCAGCTAGATCCAGCTTTTGCGGCTGCGGCCCCCAGGCTCAGGAACACCCTTCCTATTGACATATGGTTGGTCAACAATGTTGTCTGTTGTAAACAGCAACTGAAAACATTTTTGTAACCTTTTTTCATGACAGAGCTTTTATTGACACCTCTAAAACCCTGTATCAGAGCTGTTAAAAACATCTAAAATTAAAGGCCAAATTATAAAATATGCTGCCTGTCTCAAAGAAAAACAAAAAAAATTATTGGGTTAAAAAGATAACTAGAGCTGCAACTAGTAATTATAGTACTAATTATAGAACTAGTAAATATTCATTTCTCAATGAATCATTTGGTCTGAAATCATAGACAAAACAATCTTGTTTCGTCCAACCACCACTCCAAAACCCAAAAATATTGCATTTACTGTAATGTAAGGCCAAGCAAAGCAGCAAATTTGCAACCTGCAACCATCAAATGTTTGACATCTTTGCTTAAAAATGACTTAAACAATTAACTGAATATAGAAGAAGTCAATCAAAATCAAAATTGATTAATTGCCCAATTGTGCTCTCAACAGCACGGAGTAAAACCTAGAACTTGTCTTCAGTTCATGCTGGGTCCCAGTCTAACTTAACACTGTTACCCAGCAAACTTCACTAATCCTGCTTTAAGAGACAGCATGCCAGACTGAGCTGTATGTGTGAATATTTTCAAAGTGCAAATAGACGAAATCCAGTTGGGCCGTGTAACCAAGGTGATCATTTGACATCCAGACTCACTGTCTGTCACGGTCCTGTGGTCCTTCTCCTTCCCACAAATCCCCAGCTCTGACTGGCCTTGACTGATGACATCAGTGCAGGGTGTCTGGGGAGAGGATGGGGAATGTCTCCTGCCTGCTGGCCTCGTGTCATCCCGTTCCCACGGAAACGCAGCCAAGGGAGTGGAGAAGGACTCAGATTGGTCAGACGGGTGGCGGTGGGGTGTGCTCTTGTGCTGTTGTCGTGGCAACGAATCTGTGGGCACGTCTGAGAACTGGAGCCGCTGCTGAGAGGAGGAGACAAGAAGAATTAGATAAAGAGAAAAAGGAGGGCGTGAGCCTGAGCAGGGTGTCAAACTAGACAGAACATTTAAGCTGAATTTACAAACAACAGGACTCAAGCTCTTTTAATGAAGAATAACTCTTTCCTGTTGTATTCATGATACTTAAGAACTATCATGAAGTGGAGTAGAAATTATCTGTGATAATTACACTTTTGTCTGAATATGGGAAGAAGCGTGTGGGAGCTGAGAGAAAAGTCACAGATCAGGTGTGAAGAATAAAGGTAAACTGCAACAATAGCTACATTTTCTTATTTTTTTCTTACCTGTAAACAGACAGTCCAGGAGTCATGAGTCTTTTAAAATTATGCAGTTAGAGTTCTGTCTGTCTGCAGTGAAAAGCCAGATGTGTTGCAATTTTCTGACATGAATTTTTCCTGAGATACTGGTCATTGGCTCAGCTTGACATAGACAGTAGCAGTTATTCTCAACAACTGTGTGATTTCCCATAGTCTGACAGCCAAGAATCTGACTGTAACATTTGATCCTCTAATGTCAGCTTCATCTTTTGACCTGGCTGGCTGAAGAATTTGCTCCTTTCTGTTAAACAAGAAGCCACTAATTCTAATTAATTAGTAAGCAAAGAAGTAAGTAAAATAAGAAAGGATGTTCAAGTCTGACATGAAGTATTAGAGGACTTTAAGCTTAAACCAACACTGTCTTGAACTACCCTATGCAGAAGCTGGTACTTACTCGGATGTTAAGTGCCCGGCTCTGTCCTTCATCTCGCTGTCCCGGCCTCTCCTCCTTTCTGCTCCCTACAGGCCAAAAACACAGCATATGGATTGGACTTACAACCTAAAACCAATCACCAAAGCTGAACAGAAACAACAGCAGCGAATAACTTGAGTGGTTTACTGACAAGAGAGCAAAGAGAAATACAACAGTCCCCAGAGGGTGAATGGTTTGGAAAGGATAAGGGCTGGGGGAGTTTATTTACAACCTCTTGGTTCACTTGGGAGTCTTGTGGTTTTCCGTTAAATTTTCCAAACTATACGGTCCCTTAATGACAAGATAGTGACAAAACCATCAGAGAGAATACACATAGGAGTCATAAAGTTACAGGACTGTACCATTTTGTTCCCAGGGAGAGATTGAATTCCAGCAGGGAGTAGAAAACAGAGTGGTATCTGCTGACCTACTACTGTTCTGCAGCTTCTCCAGCTCTGCTTCCAACCTGCCAGAGAGATGGAGGAGAAACAGAGGGAGAGAGTTGTGTGTGGGCAGGGAGACAGAGAAAGTTCAGGAAGAAACAACAACGGTCCAGTGAAACAGATGAATGATTTATCTTATAATATGGCAACAGTAAGCTTTATTAAAGAACAAGAATGATTTCAATTTTGGTTTCCTGCCAACTAAAAATCAAACAAAACTCACAAGTAGGCAAAGTACCAGGAAAGAATACAATGGGGCATTTTTATTGGCATCGATCAATGTCATTCTGCACATAAAAGCCTCAGTTTAAACAATTTTTTTTTTTTACATTAAGTGTGAACTAATCTCAGTTTCATACCACTGATGCCAATCTGTTGCTTTCACTGAATTGCTACAATAGCTTTCGATGTACTGGACATCCTCAATCATCAACTAACATGTAATCAATCCCCCTCTTCCGGAGAGTTTAAATAGCTTTCCACATGTGTAAAACAAGGCAGAAAATGAATTCTCTATCCTCTTATTTTTAATGCTGTACATAGCTTTACGATTCTGTTCTTTCACTATCATCTGCTACAAATATCCACAAGGGTAATTGTACTTGATTAATAATAATTGTGTTCTCATTTTAGGTACAAAAGTCTGTTGTCCCCATAAAAAAAGACGACCAACACACCAGTCACATCAAAAACAGACAAAGAAGCTCAATGTCCAAGATGATAGCACTAACCTTTTGACTTCCTGGTTGAGTTTGTTGTTGAGAGTGCGAGAAGCATCTAGCTGACCCTCTAAAGAACATACTTGGGCCTGCTTGGTCTGAAACTCCTGGGACAAGCGCTCCCTGGCGATCACTCCCGCCTTGGACTCCTCACGAACACTCTGGAGCTCTCTCTGCGCAGACTGGAGCTCCCCACGCACCTCCTCATACTAGTCAGGTGAGGGGAGGAGAAAGAGGAGAGGGAAAGGTAAGAATGTTAGATTTACAAAAACTGAAGACACAAATCCCGCTAGAGATGCCCGACTATAACAGAGTATGGCAAAATTATACATGTCATCAATTATTTATACA